TTTACCTGCAGTTCATGCAGTGACATGCGCTGATGTGGGGGCGCTAATACATCCTCAACTTGGACCTAACAACACACTTGCTACGCATTTGAGTAGAAATATACGTCTCCTTCCGTTGGAATTATCTAAATTGATGCATTAAAAAAAAATGTATTACTGTTGCAAATATTCATGAGATTTATATTGGGGCACAGCTCATTTATACTGGGGCACGTGCCCCAGTAAATGGGGTCTGGCGACGCCGATGGATTAAGGTTAGATATGAACCCGAAATGTTTAGGTTGAGGATAAGTGACATGGTTAGGCTGTAGACATGTGTTAGAAATTAATGGAAGTCAGTAGAAAGACCCTGCAAAGATAAAGACACATATAATGTGTGTGTGTGTGTGTGTGTGTGTGTTTGTGTGTGTGTGTGTGTGTGTGTGCTTAAGAACCCACACACAAATCCACACAAAGCATTTTTAAACTATTCCAAAGAAGTTTCTCTTTCTGCCGATTTGGGCAAAATGCTTTAATCACATCTGCATGCACACCCCCAAACCAAGCTGCTGCCTTCATGGTTCTGCCTCAAATCCATTTTAACTACTTTAATTTTGTGAGTGCAGCTTTAAATTGTGTATGTCATTTGCAGTGCAGTGTTTGTTCATAGTGTTTTGTGTGCTTGATGTTTGTAGTGGAGTTTGCTGAACATCAAGCACAGTTTTAAACAGTTTGTTAAAGTAGGAGGAGCAGCAAACACTTGAGCTTTTTAAAAGAAGCTTTGATACTAAGTAGACTTTGGAGAATTTGCCCCTAAATCCCTGATAAATTCCAAGTTCTAGTTATATGTGCCTGCTTAAAGTGAGTGTTTACTTTGTCAGTTCTTTAGAGTACTACAGTGATTTTTTTTTTTCTCTGCAAGCACAGATTCTTATAGATTAATTTCTAAATTAACTGCTTTCCAGCTTTTGGATTTTAACAAATCTTTTTGGTCATGTTTGGTGATCCTGTAGTTTATTTTATATTGTTTGAATTTTGTATCTTTGCTGAAGGCAAATAAATAATTTAGATTGAAGCTAAAAGGAGTAATTGGACTGAGGTTTTCACAGCACCATGGTTTTAATATTAGCTAGGTGAGCATTATTTATTATTTTAAGAAATGCCCTCACTTCCCATCAGGAAAAAAATAGGTTGAAGGATAATTTTGGGTTAAACTGTAGATATTATCGGACATGTATTCTGCTGTATAAGATTAGACCATGAACTGAGACTCATTTGATCTATTTTTTGTTCCTTGTATTGCTATTACATGCCAAGAATGTTTTAGGATGTTCTATTACCTGTCTAATGTTGATAGCTCTGCATTACGGCTGCAACTAACAATTATTTTGCTGATCATCAGATTGTGAGTAAAGTGAAGCTAAAGCTTTGCTGTGTGAGGAGATACTGTACAGCTGTTTACAGATGAAGAATCTATTCCTTTATCCTACATTCAACATGTAAATGATTTTGAAATCTAGAGAAATCTTTATAAAATATAAATTCTTATAAGAATTACATTTGTTAGAACTACTGATCTCTTTATTTATTTATTTTGAACTCAATAATAATTTTATTATTTTTACTTCCATTTACCTTTTTCTTTTTTTTACAGTAGTTTTTATGTAAAGCACTTTGAACTGCAGTAAACCTACTTATAATAGTGCAGCATTAAGAATTTGAGACCAAAGCAGAAATAGCATTAACATAATATTGTTTGATGCTCCAACTCTACTTTTTTCACAGCATTTTACCCCTTTTAGGGATCCATAAAATATACCATATTTCTTATGTTGTTTGTGTATAGCCTTACAGTAATGTAGATAAAATGAAAATGTAAAGGTAAAAGTTTTAAGAACATGTGTCCTGTTTCTGCCTGAAAAATAAAAAAAAAATGGAATTGCTGAAAGGTACTACTTACTGCCTGGAGACAAGCTTTTTCTGCTGAACCACTTTAAATTCCTAAAATAGCTTACCACACAGGGATTATGCACCAAAGGAGAAACAACTTTCTTCTTGTCAACTGATTTTGAATCATAGTTTTATTCAAGCACACGATTATTTTAAAGTACTGTAAATTATAAGGTTCAGGACTGATGCAGAGTTAAAGCAACATATTGTCAAACTTTTTTTTATTATGGGACTAGATATATGTTGACAGAAAGGAAAGCAGATTTTGCCTTCAAGCTAACAATAAAAAACTGGAAAGGAGATATATATATATATATTTATATATATATACATATATATATATATATTTATATATATATACATATACATCTCTAAAAGAA